AAACTCTCGAAAATATTTCGCTCAGACGGAGCCATATTTTTATGCTTGATATAAGATTTTCGAGAAGTGATCGAAGTAAACGATGATTGCTGAAATTGGGAGAATTTCAGGATCTTTCTTTTAATTTTCAACTCTTTTAATAATTTTTACTCGAATGTTTCAAGATCTTTTGTGAATTCTTCAACATTTCTGAAACATTGAGCATTCTAACCTTGCTTGTTGCTAGTCCTTCATGGGATACGTATAGTCGCGTATTTATTGCCAACATAAGGATGATATTGTTTATTGTTCTTCCTTTCTCTCTTGTGAGGGAAGCAGTCTGATCCGAAACTACTGCTAAATACATACATAGAGCTGAAGTTGCTGTTTATTTTGGAAAGAAAGCCGATTAACTCAATTCAAAGTGGATTCGTTGTCCGAATTGAACTGTACGCTCATGGAAAATGCAATGGAACTCTCAAGGGATTCGCCTGCTCAAATATGGTCCCCTGTTCACACTCACATTCATATCCTTGTGCTGCGCAAAGCCCTAATGTCTTCTGTAAAACCTGAGCAATTTCCCAGTGGCCTTTTCGTCTCCCAATCATGACGTGAATTTAAAGTTTAATCATTTAGTGAGAAAATTTTCGGTGAGAAAATGTCAGCCAATTAATGGTCATTTATACTTCCTATGTCAGCGAGTACTTCTTTCTTTTACCGTAATCGCATATTGAAATGTTTTAGAATTTGTGATAGAATTAGTCACCTGCCTAATGGATATGCGAACTTTCTAGCTAATCATGGATAGCCGTGGATATATGAGTCATCCATTCTAAAAACAGAATCTCAATGAGAACTAATTTGCCCAAGCCAATCCCATAAATACTAGAGGCTTATATACAAGCACAATATGACGATGTCACTCGGGTAATCGGAAGGGATGAGTCAGGCTTCGTTCGCTACCTGCCAATACGTACGGTACTGAACTTTGCGCTAATCGATTGCTTGGAAACCTTTCTCAAGGTGTCACGAATCCAGCTGCATATGTTCGCAGTATTGGAAGAGAGGTTGGACCTTGTAACAGTTGTCCGAAGTGGGTCTCTCAACAGAAGAAGGAAATCATAGCCCAACATTGGACGATAGCGGTGTGGACAGAGTTCAAACAGAGTGGCGGGGTAGTTTTTGAGGAGCGTTCGGTAAGACAGCAGCACGTGGCACAATTATTTTGTGTACTGTTACAAAGAAAGTAGGAGGAGAGAAAGAAAAAAGGAGAGGAAAGAGAAAAAGCAGAGGCGGAGGTGGTGCAGTGGCGGAGGTGGTGTAGTGGCAAGTGGCGCACTATTTCGCACGCACGGACATGGGTTCGAATCGCAGATCGATATTCGCTAGACCATCCAAGCCTTCTATCTCTCCGGGGTCGGTTAATTTGTACCAGACTCATCTGGGAGATCTGGGAGAATAAAAGCATTGACCTGTACATCGGCTAAGCGNCGCATTCGTTACGATTCTGAATGGGAGTCGAATACAGAGGCGCATCCCTCAGACGGGATTGATTGACACCCAAAGACTTTATCCTTTATCCTTTATGCTGTTGACGAAAGGAGAAGCTCGACGACCAATGACCGTCTCGACTAGTCAGAAGCACTCACGTGTTTTCGGACAGGTGTTGCTGACGCTGCGTGATTCTCATTAGTCACTGCTGCATTAGTTCGAAGTCTGTGAGGAAAGGCTTCAAAACTGAACGCCAAGAGCTCTTCAGTCATTCAAAGGCAACTGGTTTCCCTGGCCAAATACGGGCTGGACAACTCTTGACAGGCCAGATGTCCAGGAGTTCGTACTGAGCAACGTTTTTGCCCTTTGTGTACGGGAATTTAGATTTGTTTGAAAATAAGCGGTTCTCTGACGAAAGTCACATTCATATGAGAAAAGCTACATTAATCATCCGACGCTTGCTACCTTGGTTCTGAGGTGCCTAATGCAACCGTGCGGGAATCGCTACATAGTGCACGTCTGGCAACATGTTGTGCCACCTTAGCACATGGTTTATTGAGCCCATATCCTTCAGGTTCAGTGATCATGTTTTTCAGGTTTTGGGAAGGTTACGCCGTGCAAAGGACATTCAGATGAGTGGGCAGGGCCATCTCAATGCGGAGCGCTCGAAAAGCCCTTGCCATATTTCAGAAAACAGTACAGAACTAATTTTTATGTGGTATTGACTCTGCTATTTTCCCAATCTTTTATAAGTGACATTGCTTTAAATTTGGAGGGAGGAGTTGGTGTAGTGGCAAGTGGCGCACGACCACATACGCATGATTAGGGGTCCGAATCCTTGACCGATATCCGCCTTGGGCAACTGAGCCTCCCATCCCTCCGGGGCCAGTTAATGGGTGCCAGGCTCCTCTGGGCAGCCAAACTACTGATTTGTATATTGGATGGCCACCGCAAGCCATTGTATAGGTCACATACGCATGCAAAACGCCGTTACGATTCTGAGTGAAAGTCGAATGCAGGGACGCATCCCCCGGACGGGATTGATAGACGACCAAAATTTATCCTTTTTTCAAGGCGACTATTTATAAAAATACTTCAGTTATTCGATCGTTGCTGTTAAGAATTCTTTGCAATATTACGATTAGAAAAGTATCCCCAGATGTTCAATGGGATATCAACAAAATTACTGGACAACGGCGTGAGTAAGCAAGTTGTTTGTTTTCCAGCTAATGTTTTTTCAGAAGGGAAGATGAGTCACTGCGAGCCAGCCATGAGTCCTCACCAATTATGTAGAGACTCTTTTCTTCTTCTCTATGATTAGCTGCACGTGACTTTGCCCGCGGGTGCAACTTATTTATTTGTTTACAGGCCTGCTTTCTGATCAAAACTGAACATAGCTTTATTTTTCTAGGAAAGAAAGTGATTACAAAGTGAAATTGTCAGTAGAGGTGAGTAATATGAACAGAAAATAGTCTCTTGAAGCCATGGAAACCAGATTGCCTTTGCCCTAGGCGAGCTCATCCTCCATGCTAAGACTGGACTTAGCGAGAACTTGTGTTTTTTGATCCTCACCCGATTCCCGACTATCGAAGATTTCGTTTTGAGGAAATCTGGTGTTTCTGAGTGTGGGGATTTTGGATTTATCACTCAGGAAAATCACTGAACATTGGCTAATCCCATCACTAACCTAGTTTGTACGATTTGTGGGAAGTCCTCCAATGTCGACGATCTCGGCTTTGTTTTTGCCAGAGCGCTGACGTATTTTCTGTAGGAGGCTGATTCTGAACACAATGAATCAGAGCTTATAATCACAAACTGATACAGGAGGTCTTCAGGGAATAATATGCAGTATATGGAAGACTGGCATATAGCTGGTAGCAATCGCTCATGAGTCATAGTCGTTGATAAGTTTGATGAATGCGTATCGTTGATAAGCTGCGATATCGGGAGTACAGAGTGTGATATCAAAGAACCGCTGACGTCCGCTTAGTAACGGGTAAAATAGGAGTTATAATGGTGAACATGAGGCTTTTCACTGGTAGTCACCATGAAGCTCCTAATCGGAGTGGACTTGGCTACTTAGAGAACCTGCAAACTGGCTATTATGAAAGTGTGTTGGGAGTTGGAAATGGTCGACGATTCTTCAACTTTCCGTTTTCCCAGGCTAGACAAGTTCAGAAACTTTTGTAAATTATAAGTTGGGGATGGTTTCTTTCGAAGGCTGCCATAGCAACTCGAAAGAGGCCCTTCTTGACTCAAGAAAAACATCGAAACGTATTTGAAGAATGATTTCCCTTCCAGATGGATGATTCATTGTGTCACGAAATGTCACGAAAGTAGGAAAGCGATTTGTCATGGATCACTTGGCTTATCTACATAGCACTATTCTGTGATTTTCTCGGAGGAGGCCTCAGCAATGCATCTGATTTTGGATTTCTACCTGCAAAGCTAAAGCTTGATGCAACAGAATCGCTTGCTCACTGGTGACAAAAGGTTCATGTCATTAGTACAGAACCTTTCAAAAGATCCATCGGCGTCGAGTCAACTGTCTCTGAGTATACATAGCATCTCGTAGCGTGTAATGGCAACCATGTTAGTCCGAAGGTTATTGCAAAGTCGCATGGCCTACTCAGTCTACCCGATCTTCGATACCTTGCTACCCAAGCGGCAACGTCCCTGATCTTCGATCGGAGGCAGTTCGGAACTCCAAATTCCCCTCTGCGTTCATGTGCATAGTGTAACTGAGAGCTTTCCGAGGTTGTCGTTAAACGAGAACCACATGTCCGCTTCGCCTTTGTCTTGCCCTAGCCGTTCAGGAGTACTACCAGGGACTACCATGGTGTCACATAGTATTATCACAAATTCATGGTCCCAATGAGGTCCAGATGGGGTGGCGCATCCCCTATTCTCATTTGAGTACGTGAATTCGCTAAGACGTCTGGCAACCATTTTGTTACCTAGTCATTCTGAATTCCATGCGGTCTCAACCTCGGCATTCCGTAGTGCATATGGATTGGAAAACTTCAAGTTTCGGTCAAACTGTTGCTTGAAATGCTCCCTTCCATCCGACTTTCACACATAATCGCAGTGACGTATGTAAGCGCACTTGGCCTTAACGGTGACTTTTGGGAGTCAGCCATGCAGTCAAGCTTTTGTCCTTCCGAACAAGTGTAGTACCAGCTATCCGATTCAAGAAAGTTACAACGGGTGGTGCGGCTGGACCGGCGTTGATAAGGGTTTGTCCCTGGGCGCTAGGGCGATGTAGACACATCCTGACTCTATCCCACCCTTGTCTTTATGCTGCACATGCAATGTTTTGTTATTCGTTATGCCCTTAGTCATGCCTTTGGTTCTAAGCATAGCATAGTTAGATGGGGTATTCATAGAGGAGCCAGATGTTTGAAGCATCTCTACGGCTTCCGTAATTTCCTCTCTGAAATACGTTGGCTGACAATCCATTGCTTTACTGTACTTTCGAGAAAGCCCTGTTCGGGCGATTTTGATGAGATTCATAGAAAGCCAAGGGACTGATGTTCTCTTGGCGTTGCTTCTGTGTAGTGTTCAGTGAGCAGTGGAAATGCGAGCTGCAGCGAGCTCACGGGCTGACTCATGCGCTTCGTGACGGCCACGCCTACAAGTCCATAAAGGACGCCCTGGTCATATCACCCCTACTGCCTTCCTTTCCCCGTGTTCCTTCTGATGCGATGCTCCAGCCAGTCCTATCGGAGCCGCCCATATACCAGAATCTGCACGCTGGCTTCTCAACATTACCTCAACAATCAGATAATCGCCGCGGGTTCTTCTGGCTACAGCAGCAACCTATGGAACCTTCATCTGCGAACAGTCACCTTTTGACTGTTAATATTGGTAAAGGGCATTCCCACATGGATTGTTCCTATGTGGACTTACCACCACTCCCACCAACGAAACCACGTCGTACACGCTTCACTGAGCGACTAATGGAAGCACATCCACGCGAAGCGCACAGAAATTCACCTGTACCTTCTGTCTCCAAGAAGTTGGACAGCCGCAGCCAAAGTCAAAGTTCTGCCCAGTGCGAGAAATCGCATCGTCATCGTCCCGGAGTGCTACGCTCAGTTATAATCTTATTTACTTGCTGTGTGACATCCGATTCCGCCAAGACACCAAAGCGCAACGGCGATTCACGACGTAATAAGACATGATGAAGACGACTGTGATAACATCGTTATCTGGTAAGTTCCACTCAATACTTTAGTGCTAAAAACAGTTCAATCCACTGTGATCATCCGCTTCTGTACAAGCCCTCAAGGCAAGCGCCTGATGGCCCATCTTAATTGGAATATGCCAGATTGGTGACCCTCCAGACCTGTCTCGAAGAAAAATTAGGAAGCAAATGATACATTTACAGAAAATTCACCAAAGTTTGAAGAGAACTATGATTTTTTTCTTGCCATTGGTCGGCTGTATCATGCGAGAAGTAGGTAATTAGAAGCGATAACTTCTCTAACTAGTAGCTAGCTGTAATGCGGATGAACTAGCTTGACTAGCCTCACTTCCCGTGCACTATGGCGACGATCGAAGCCGAATGAGTCATGCCATTAAGGTGAAGCCTATTAGCACCTGTACATGGTTGAATGGATTACTCAGCGAGGCATTTATAGCTGTGTTCGTAGCTCGGACTCAGTGAATGAGGAAACAAGTGAGCCATTGCACTCATGAAGCGCCTACATGACTGGCATTTTCCTTGACATCACTATTTTCAAGGTATTTTTTAAGTAGTGACTGTTAACTAGAGGTATTTTCAAAAAGATTTCAATAGGATAGCTATTTTCAATGCATGTTATCGCAACAGGCTGGGAGGAGGAGGAGTGGGAGGCTTGTGTAATCAATTGAAGCACTTGATGAGTTTGTATGTGCCTGCCATGAAGTCACTTAACGAGCCTTTCATTTCAAAGGGCAGCTCGACCTTTACGTTGTTGTCGAAGGTCTGAATGTGGCTTAAAGTACAATTAGTAACAGTAGCTCATCAAGCACCTACTCCTCCCCAGCAGGACGCACCGGAACTTCACAATATTTGAGGGATGAGCTTATCTGGGCCTCACTAGGGTGTAAGGAAGTGCTGCTTCCTGTATGACAGCGGCGACTGGGTCGCATTTCATGCGAGTACCTTGCATTCTATCATCCAATTGTTGAGTGAAATTTTTGCGTCAATCGATTTCTTGTGTGGGATGCGTCCCCCATCGACTTCCATGCGGAATCGTACTGGCGTTTGAATGCGTATGTTGCCTATATAACAGCGTGCTAGAACTGGCTGATATGGAAGGCAGTGCTTTTGTCCTCTCAGACGAGTCTGCTACCAACCGACCGACCACCAAGGATGGAAGGCCTGGTTGACTTGAGCGAGCAGCGACCCTGGCTTCGATTCTTGGGCATTATACTGCAAATATGAATTCCTGTGTCATTTGGTGTGGGAAGCAAAAGTCTTTTGGAATGTAACGAGATGAGGAACCGTCAAATAGGTGAACTATCTCGCAAAAGGTTTAGAGAAGGGGCAGCCAAGGGTGATTTTGTAGGAGAAAGTTCTGAGAACCTTGATTTCTCACGTTTCCCCATGACGTACCAAATTGATTTGTTTCCCTCTAAATTAGTCATTGCTCATTCTTTGTGCGGTACTCAGTATTAATCACTATTTTGTGTTTTCGGATCATTTACTCTTTGTAGGAGCATTTACTCCTTGTTTTTCTGTTGCTCTTGTATACGCATGAATGGAGTAGACTTTGTTTTTTAGAAGCAGTTGACTTCATTCTGAGAATCAAGCACAGGCTCGTAATCAAGTGACTAATGAGAACCCACAGCTCTCAGTCACAGTTCCGAAGTTTCTCCCTCATACTAGAGTGACTAATGGGGATTTGATGATAATACCCCCTTTTTTAATCTCAACGCCAAGCTCTTAACCTGAGCCCACTCATTAGCGAAGCCCCGACCATCGGGGGGCTTCACTATTGTGTGGGTGGAGAGCCTGTCTTCCATTCCAGGATAACTGATAAGGAAGTGATGAGGATTTTAGGGCGGCTTCGTGAGGTTGGCACTAATTTCAGTGGTAATCTCTTGAAGATTCGGCGGCGCAAAGCCGGATGCATGGCGCGCCTTGATTGAAACATACAATGTCAGCCAATTCTTCGCAACAACTATTCAGAAGCATAAAATTTGCTCTTTGATACTTGGCTGAGTATAAATAATATTTTGTTATACCATGAAAAAAGCTGATTAAAGGCTTATGGCTAATAGTTTTCCATTCAGAGAAAAGCCATGTTTTTCACTATGATAGCTTTCGCGTGGTTATAATCTTAAGGATACTCAATTTGAATGACGTGAGTAAGTGAGCGGATGAATAAGTGCAAAGAGATTTCTCTGATTCAGCCTAGAGGAACAGCTTCCGGCCCAGCAGTGGGGGATTAGCCCTTCTTATATAGCTCCTGTTTGTTCAGATACATACCAATAGAGGGATTTCTTTTCACAAAGATATCAGAGAAATGGTATTTACAGTGGAGTGTAAAACAGCTTTGCGAAGATAATGTTTCTTTTATGATTTTTCCAAAGATGGGGTTCTTCCGTTCAAAAGGAGTCGGAAGAAAGATTGTCTGGGGCTATTTTTCCTCTCGGACAAAAGCGAAAGGAAGGGTACTCAAAAAAATTCATCTAATTCCTTGCTTTGCATGTTCGCATACTGTTTTGGGAATGGTAGCTTTTATCTTAAAAGGCTTCACCAGAAAAATCTCAATTTTGAAGTTTTTGCTAGTGAGGCCGTATTCATAGCTATAATAGAAGCTATGTTTCGATGACCAAGCCAAGTGAAATTAAAGGAATGAGTAAAACTTTCCGACGTTTTATTATTTTGGCTGTTAAGTGATTAAAAAATTAAAAAATAAATAAAAATAGATTGAATAAAAATCAAATAAATTGAATATCTGAGTTCTCAATATTTCAATGTAATATTATTATATTCAGTATTTCCATATTAATATAGTAGTCAATATTCAATACTGACTGTATAAAAAATAATGTAAGGTTAAATTTTGAATTAAATTAAAGGATCTCTATTATTCGGAATATTGTTTTACAAAAAAGTAAGGATCTCATGACTTATGGTTGAACTTACAGATTGCTTTGTGACTCAAACCTTAACCTTATTTCTTGAATTCAATTTCTCATGATTCATCCTCCATAGACCGGCAGTCACCATATGTCGCATGAAGAAATTAATTAAACTTTGCCACATCGTCAATATGAATCTACCAGAGGTGGTTACGGTAGCAAAAAATCCGA